AATTTTTGCTTCTTCCTTTCCAATTTGGATGCCTTTTATTTCTGTCTTGCCTAATTCTTTTAGCTAGGGTTCCCAACACTTGTATTAGGAGTGGTGAGAGTGGGCATCTTTGTCTTGTTCCTAATCTTAGAGGAAAGCTTTTGATTTCTCACTGCTGAGCAAGTTAGGTGTGGGCTTGTCATGTATGGCCTTTATTGTGTATGTTCCTTCTGTTTCCAGTCTGTAGAGTTCTTAAAATGAAAGGATATTTTGTCAAATGCTTTTCCTGCATCTGTTCAGGTGACTGTGTGATTTCTATCTTTCATTCTATTAAATGGTGGTATATGAAACTGATTTGCCCATGTTGAACCACGCTTGATCCCAGGGATAAATCCTACATAGTCATGGTATACAATCCTTTTAATGTGTTCTTGAATTTGGTTAGCTAATATTTTGTGGAGAATTTGCAGATCTACAGTCATCAGAGATACGGGTCTTTAGTTTTCTTGTAGGTCCTTATCTGGCTTTGATATCAGGGTAATGCTGGCCTCATAGAATTGGCCTAGAAGTATTCCCTCCTCTTCAATTTTTTGGAAGAGTTTGAGGATCGTTAACTCTTCTTCACGTTTGGTAGAGTTTGCCAATGAAGCCAGTTGATCCTGGAATTTTCTGTTAGGAGGCTTTTGATTACTAATTCAATCTCTTATTATTAATCTGTTCAGATTTTGTTTCTTTCTGATTCAGTCTTGGTGAATTCTGTGTTTCTAGGAACTCATCCATTTCTTCAATTACTTAATTTGTTGGCATGCAACTGTTCATGGTAGACTCTTACGATCCAATGTATTTCTGTAATGTCTCTTCTTTCATTTCTGATTTTGCCTTTTTTTTCTTAGTCTAGCTAATAGTCTGTCAATTTCATTTATCTTTTTGAAAAATATTTTGTTCTTGTTTTGTATTTTTTTCTTGTCTTTCTGATCTTTATTTCCTTCCTTCCTCTAGCTTTGAGCTCAGTTTGTTCTTTTTATAGCTCTTTAGGTGTAATGTGAGGCTGTTTGAGATCTAACTTCTTAACATATGCATTTATCATTCTAAACTTCCCTCTCAGAACTGCTTTTGCACAGGTTTGCTGTTTCCATTTTCAGTTGATAAATTTTATTTCCCTTTTAATTTCTTCTTTGACCCCACTCATTCAGAATTGTGTTGTTTCCACTATTTACAGATTTTCCAGCTTTCCTGTTGTTGACTTGTAGTTGCGTACCATTGTGGTCAGAAGATAGATTTCAATCTTCTTAAATTTGCTAAGACTTGTTTTGTGTCCTATCATATAATCTATCCTGGAGAATGTTCCTTGTGTACTTGGGAAGAATATATTCTGTTGCTATTGGATGGAAAGTTCTATATGACCATTAGGTCCATTTGGTCCAAAGTATGATTTAATTCTAACATTTCCTTGTTGATTTTGTCTGGATGATTTACCCATTGCTCTAAGTGAAGTATTAAAGTCCTCTACTATTATTCTATTCTCCACATCTCCGTTCAGATTTGTTAGTATTTGCTTCATATATTTAGGTGCTCCAATGTTGAGTGCATACAGTTTACGATTATTGTATCATCTGACTGTAGTGACCCCCTTTATTATATAATGACCTTCTTTGTCTCTTACCACTCTTGGCTTAGTTTGTTTGGTCTAAGGGCAAGTACAGTAATCCCTGCTCTTTTGGTTTTCACTTGCAAGTAGTATTTTCTTCCATCCCTTCACTTTAAACCTGTGTGTGTTAAAGCTGAAGTGAGTCTCTTGTACAGAGCATATAGTTGTCTTTTTTTTTTTTAATCCAGCCATTCTGTGCCTTTTGATTGGTGAATTCAATTTACATTTAGAGTAATTATTGATATGTAGGGATTTACAACTGCCATCTTCCTGGTTGCCTTCCTGTTCTATATTTCCATCATTCCTTTTCCCCAGTTCTTTCCTCCCTTCTGTTTCAACTCTGTAAATTGATTTTCCACAGTAGTATATATGGTTTCTCCTTTATCTTTTGTGAATCTAAATTTTTTAACATGAGGTTTACATAAAACATTTCATACATGGAAGAGTCCATTTTATGCTGATAGCAACTTATCTTCATTTGTCTATAAAGGGTCTATTCATCTTTTACTCATATATATTTTCTGACATCAGATTTCTTTTTATATTGTGTACGGTCAGCAAATTATAGTAGCAAGTTATTTTTAATACTCTTTTCCTAAAGGAAAAGGTGAAACGTACTCAAATTCAGAAAATTCTAATTCTTTAAGATGGTATACTATAGTTGTGGCTAATATGCCATTTTATAGAATTAGAGTTTTCTAAATTTGAGTATTTTTCACCTTTACCAGTGTAAAGATGGTTTTATGTCACTGATTAGCATCTTTTTATTTCAGCTTGAGGAACTCCTCTCAGCATTTCTGCAGGGTAGACCTAGTGGTGATAAATTTTTTCAGCTTTGGCTATTGGGCAAGTCTTTCTCCTTCATCACTGAAGTGTAACTCTGGCTGAAAGTTTTTATCTTTTGAGACTTTGAATGTCATTCTAGGGTTTTGCCACTGAGAAATACGTGGACAGCCTAATGGGGCTTCCTTTGTAAGTTACACTCCCCCAGCCGTCTTTAGGATTGATTTTTGGTGGTTTCCTTGTATGATGTCTGGGAGGTGTTTCCACATTGAGATACTATGGTGATCTATGTGAGCTCTGTGACTTTGGATGTTCAAGTCCTTTCCCCCAGGTTTGAGGAATTTTCAATTATTTTTCAAACTACATTTTCTGCCCCCCTTCTCCCTTTGGTCTTCTGCATCATTTGAGAATTTGTATTCTCTAAGTCATTTATTCTGTCTTCCAATTACTCTATTCTACAGAGGCTTGCTATAGTAGTCTTCATCTCATTCACTCAATTCTTCAACTCCAGAATTTGGTTCTTGTTTGTAATTTCTCTGTTGATTTCATGTTTTCCTTCCTAATATCATTGAGTTTTCTTGTAGCTTGTCGTGTTCTTCAAAACAGCTATCCTGAATTCTTTATCAGCTAGATCTGCAACATCCTATGTCTTTGTGTGTAGTTGTTGAATTATTGGTGTCTTTTGGAGGGTGAAATATTTTTTCATGTTCCTTGTACGTTTGCATGGCTATTTTCACATTTGAAGTAACAGACGCCTCCCGAGTCTTCACTGGTTGCCGTCAGATGAGGTACTATCACTGGTGTCACTACGTCAGAGGTGTCCTCAGCCTTTGAATGGGTGAACCTGCTCCACTCTTCTTGCTCCCTCTAGTGGCAGAATTCTTAAACTTTTCCATCTTTTCTTGTAACTCAAGTCTAGCTGCTGGAACCTTTTGTTTTCCAGAAGGTGGTGCTATAGCTCCACAGCTCTAGTGTGTGATTTCTCCCTTGCCCACAGACTCTTGGTCCATTTTTCTGAGAATACTCTCATTACCGGGCCTGCTCTCACTGCCCCGCTCAGGAGCACGCACGGGGATCCAGCACATAGTGAGAGGTGGCGTGAATTTAACTCAAGGCTTTGGGGAGGCTTGTGGACCCAGTGGGGCAATCTGGTGGGGAGGTCTTTGAGTGGGATACTCCCAGAGGCATATGGGCAGACTTCCTGCTGAAGTCTTGAGGAACCGCATTCTTTTAATGCTCTTTGATATTCCTATCTACAGTTCCTTCACCTTGTCTTCCCTCCCCTCAGTCATGAAGTTCCCACTTCAGTACCCTGGCTGTCACTGGACAGAAACGGGTTTCTCCAGCCATGACCCACACAACTGGCACCGCTGGGCACTCACAGCTTTCCACCTCCTCTGAAGGAGAGGTGACCACTGCCAGACAGCCCCGTGCAGCTAGGTGCTGGGTACGTAACTGTCAACAAAAGAGTTTCCTTTTTATGTCTCTACTGTAAAGTTTACTAACATTAAAAAAGGAGAATCAGCTTTTCATTAATGAACAAAGCGTTAAAAAGAAAAATGTCAGTTTGAAAGATACCATTTACCCCCAATGATTTTTTAAAATTCTATTAATTCCAAAAGATTAAAGAATATGCAAATAATGAAAGTGATACTCACCTGTGATATTCACTTCTCAAGACAGAATGCTCCAGAAAAAGAACTTGATAAAAACTATAGCAATAAATGACAGTACACTGATAGAGACCTGAATGTTTTATTGTAAGAAATACCTTTACTTTGACCCAGTTAACAAAGGAGATTTTAATAAGACTTCACTTTTCCGTTGAGGGAATAAATTGGGGGGAGGGGGTGGGAAAAAAGGGTGAAGACAACATCTAAACGTTGGGGAAAATGTGGAGGGGACAATGCAGGCTTAGTCTGCTTTTATACAGTTGTTTGGGAAACCGCACTTTAAAATCTAGTAAAAAGTAGTAAGTAGTAGAAATTTTTGCCTATTTTTGTTCTTTAATTATTAGGCAATGTTTCCACGTAAGAAAAGAAGTTCTCTTATAGCTCTAAGTTAATAATTTATTTAATAATCATTTCATATTGTAAGATTTAAGTGTTACATTTCACCTTAGTGGATTGTAATCCAGAAGTAGTATAAAATAGTATTTATATATATATCATAGCAGGAAATAAAGGTGATATAATAATCACTGTTAATGATTTTCACTTTTAAAGAAATACACTTCTATCAAACTTAAGAGGAATCCTTTATGGCCCAAAGGAATGGAACTCAAATTTTTAACGAGTTATTAAAAGAAAATTTAGAATATAAATTAAAACGTACTTGAACAAGTTCCAAATATACTTATTATTAAATATAAAGATGTTAGCTCTGGTACGTAGGAAAATATTTACAACTAATAAAAGCATATCGTAGAATATACATGTTCTCTATATAAAAATACATAAAATATTTTACAGTCCAAACCAAAGGATCTTTTCGAAACCACGTTTTATCCATGCAACGCTATTACAATACCATCCCATTAGCACTACTGGAACTCATACATGCATGGAAGAAATCGAACAATAGCCTTGATTTAAAGCTCATACTTCCTTCTTAGGGCCTGTACATCTTCTAAAGTATAATGTTTGTTTGGTGTGTCTGAGAGGTCATCAAAGAGCTGTTCAATTTGCTCCTTTTGGCCCTTGCTGATTAGTGTCAACATCATCTGGAAGAAGGAGAAAAACTGTATTAGCTCCATTTAAAAATGAACATTTTAAAGTTACAGATACCCTAAAACAAAAATCAGTATCTCTGTTTTGCCACTTACCTTGAACCTTTCTGCTTTACTTAGATAGAAAAGATGCTGATACACCAAAGAAGGATCTTTCCCAATAAGATTATTTTTCAGAGACTGAATGAGGAGGAGGAATGTATCCCCTTCAAGTTTGTTACTCAACAACACTGGCAAATCTTTCGGTTCAGTGACGGCTAAAAGGTGTGCACAGGCCTCTTTATCGTTCCTCGTGCTGATGGCATTTATAACCTGACCAAATTCATAGGCATTGGTAGGCCTGGCGATCGGGAGTGTTTCACAGTATGCTGGTGGCCCATTGGTTGTGTCCTCCTTCCTGGTGGCAAAGCAGTCATTGGACACCTCCTCAGAGGTCCTTTCAGGCTCTTCTTCATGGCCTTCGTTCACCTTCATGAGGAAAAAAAAATTATACTGTGACACAACAGCCACTGCACAAATTATTAAAATGGGAAAGAACTGAAAAACACTGGTAGACTCTATTTTAGTCAAATTCTAAGTGAAAAAAGTGTATACTTTATAATGAATAGGAAAACCTACTCTTTTTAGGAAGTGTTAAGTATCCATTCATGAAAGTATGTTTTTAAGTTTAAAAAATTTTTGACACTGAAAATATGATCATGAGGTTTAGTTTTCTATGAAAGAAGACCTATAACAACTTTACCTCTTTTTCGTGACAAATATTTCCTCACATTTAACAGAGACATGAACTTAAAATATTTTTTCTTCCCTCCTTGGAAAATACTTCTAGTTTCTCTCACATATTCGCCTCTTACTCTTAGCGGAAATGTATGATAAATGGGATATGATATTTGCATCCACAAGGACACAGGAATTCATGAGCTGACATTCTTCACGGATGCCAAACGAAAAAGCTAGAGTGCAAGACACGGAGTTTGATTCTGGGATACTCCAAAATCTCCGATTAGGCCAGTCTTGTTTCAGAGTGCTAAAAAGGTCTCGATCAATCAAAAAAATCCCTATGGGGTATGGCTGGCAGGGCCACTGACACTGAATGAGTCCTGTCAGGATTCTCCAGGTGTACCCTGAAGCAAACAGGCTTCCAGAGCAATCTGGAGCAGAAACAATGCAAACTATAGGCCAGGTGGGGGTGGCTGGGGGAGAGAAAGGAGAAACCTCAGGAATGCAGACTCCCAGTACCCTCGATGGACACAAGCTGGGATCTACAGTGGCTAATTATAGCAAAGGAAAGTTTTGTCTTTATAACTGGTTAAAATGCCTTTACTGGACATCCAAGTAAAAAGAAAATAATTTTTTTTTGTAGAACTCAGAGAAATAGGATTTTAGCATCTACGAAATCCCCAAAGAGTACTTTCAAAGTTAATCAAATACAAATACCTCTTGAATTTCAATTTTCCTTCTCTCTTTTTCTTTGTTGAATGATGCATTATCCTTAAGGAGTCTGGTTACCTCTTCCAGTTCCATCTTTGCCTCAATAATACTTGAATCCAGCAGAAGAACTTTATTGAGATCGTTTAAACTTTTCTGATACTCCTGAAAGTAGAAAGGCAGAGAAAATAATTTTTACGACAAAAGAAGAGGCACAGATTAACCCAAGCAGGAGTGAGACTGAGGGGCGGAGTGGTGCACAATGTGTGCGGTGGGCTCCCTGTAGTGCCCAGATTACAAAGTCAGGCCCACAAAGTAGTCTCGGACTGAAATATTAAAACCCATAAAAGCGAGCACAGAATCTGGAGTTCTTAGACTCCAGTTCACTTGTGTATCACAACCATCAGTCCTGGAGGTACAGGAGGCGTTTGCTGTCTGCAAAATGAACGAACAGCCTCATGTTAGTACCTACCTAAAAAACTGGAGCGGGCGCCTGGGTGGCTGTTGGTTAGCGTCAGTCTTCGATTTCTCGAGTCGCGATCTCTACGGTTCGAGTCAGGCAACCCAAGTCAGGCTCTGTGCTGACAGTGTGGAGCCTGTTTGGGATTCTTTCCCGCCCCCACCAAAATAAACTTAAAAAAAAAAAAAAAAAAAAATCCTACTTATTTAACCTCTTGAGTTTCAGTTTTCTCATCTTTAAGGATAACAAAAGCTTTCCTACTCGAGTTTTCACAAAGCGGTACCAAGCATAAATGAAGTAGTAATATGAGCGGTTTTAACTTTCATAAAGGGTGATACAAATGTCAGCTGTCACATCGTATCCTGTACCATAAAACCCTTCAAAGTTGTATACTGTTCAAATAGGCTAGCGTCGACATTTATTCTTCCATCGAGTCAGACGATACGCTGGGAGAGGTTGAGGGCAAAGAAAAGGCATCTAAACGCATAGCAGAATGTGGTAGCTGAGACAGAGGCCACAAAATCAGTCTGATGTGACAGGCCATATTCTAGAACTACAGACTACACCAATGTTCTGATTAAGCCAAAGTTGATTCTGTGAGGAGGCAAAGAATTGCAATGATGTATAACCTCCCTAAGTATTCATGACCTACCAATAACGGCCTGCTCTGGAGGCTGGGGCACAGGAAGCTAAGCTTGTGATTACGTGATGTTCCTGGAGGACTAGCTGTGATGCCACATCCCTTCTCCCTCTGTCCAGCAGGACACTGCAGCAAAAGTGATTTGTTTAAACAGATAAACTTAAATCTGCTCAAATTCATTAAAAAAGGTAAATTGTTTACAAACGATAGTACATTATAAACTATTAGGAACAAATCACATACCATTGTGTCACAACAGTACAGCTGGAACCAGCTACAGAAAACCCAAATGACACCGTATTTCCATCCTAAGTGTTCATGCTAGGAACCATACCGAAAGGCAAGCAAGTGGGGCAGCAGGGCAAGCTGAGGTAGTTCCTGCTAACTCTGACCATTCTTAGCATTTTGAAAGTATTAGTTTACTCTCACAGCAGCCCTGTACATACTAACTTCTGCCCCATTTAAAAGGTCAGGGAACTGAGGCACAGAGAGATAATTCTTGGGATGATCGAGGCAGCAATGACCAGAAAGTGAACGGGAATACAGTTGTGGAATCCTAGCGAGAAGCCTGAAAACAGATTTGTGAGCTACAGCCTTGGAAATGAAAGTCCACCAGTCACAGAGTCAGTATGTATGGTTTTTCAACCCATTCAAGAAAAATCTATGCATAAAGAGCAATCTGTCTGGTTGAAGGAGACCTAAGAAAATAGGAAATACACTTCGATAAGAGTTAAAACAGAGGCGAGCAAATGTAAAGAGAAAAAGAGCCAGGAAAGTGGAGACACTGGAAGACAAGGGCCCGCGGGCCAGATCCCAAAAATGGTCACGCAGCCTGGCCCTGGCCCTTATGGAAGTTTCTGTCTTATGAAGGGAAACAATATAAAAAAGTAAACAAATGAGTAAGTATGGACTATCACTAATGCAAGTAAGAAAACCAAGGTTTCCGATGATACTAACGAGGAGGAAGGAGTCTTTTAATTTTTTTTTTTTAACGTTTATTTATTTTTGAGACAGAGACAGAGCATGAACAGGGGAGGGGCAGAGAGAGAGGGAGACACAGAATCTGAAACAGGCTCCAGGCTCTGAGCTGTGCCACAATCCACGTGGGGCTCGAACTCACAGACTATGAGATCATGACCTGAGCCGAAGTCGGACCTTCAACCGACCGAGCCACCCAGGCGCCCCAAAGGAGTCGTCTTTTGACACAGTTGTCAGAGAACACAAGACCTGAGGACAAACAGCCACGCGGGAAGAAGAGCAGAGCATACACGAAGAGAAAAATATGGCTCTGGCAAAAAGGAAGACGTTCAAAGTTGCTAATTATACCATTAGGCCTTAAAAAATATATATATAATCACATGTGTTTGTGATAATATATATATTAATAGATGCACTTAAACTGTAATAAGAGTTATGTTACTTTTTGATATTTTTGGCCTTCTAGCATACCCAATTAATTGGCTGCAAATTCCTTAATGCAAGCACGATGTCTTATTTACCACTCCGCTCCCACAGTCTAGCACGTACGTAAGCGGCACTCGATTAAAGAAAGAAATTCTAAGACAAATACCATATGATTTCATTCACATGTGGAATTTGAACAAATGAACACAGAGGGTGGGGGAGGAGGCAAACCAAGGAAGACTCTTAACTCTGGAGAACAAACAAACTGATGGTCACCAGTGGGGAGGTGGATGGGGGTACAGGTGAACTAGGTGTTGGGGATCAAGGATCTAGGCGCTTACTGTGATGAGCACCAGGTGTTACACTAAGCGCTGTATCACTAAATTCTACACCTGAAACTAGTATTGCGTTGTATGTGAACTGAAATTTAAACAAAAACTTGGGGAAAAAGGAATTCTAAGTGAAAGCCCCGTGATTTTTAAAACTGGCATGTGTGTGCGCGTGCTACTAACTATAGGCAGGGCACCTGCTCCTCGTGAGCCTCTGCGCCAGCCCCTCCCAGACACGCCAAGGAAGTGGATCCAGGCATGACTTCTGGTGCGTTTTGTAGGCAGTTGTCGCTTTTGAAGATACTGAAACTAAATTCGCTTGGCACATAACTCAAACTACAGGACATATAAACAAAACTGCAAGGAAATCAAACCAGAAAAACAAACTGCCGGCCTCATAATCTAGTGGGTTGGATTACTCAAATTTGGGATCATCTTTCTGCAGAGTACAATTTCTAGAATGCATTCCAAAGGAGTATAAAAAGTCTTTCGTTAGGTACACCTCTCACATTGTGTCAGGAAGACAAGTTCCAAGAGTCAGGCAACCAGCCTGGAGTAAACCTGCTCTAAGAGTCTGGAAACGCATACACTCGTGAGTCATCACACACACCTACCCTCACGTACCTGAATTCATCAAGCTCAGAGAAAGCTGAGGGAGTTTTGAAGAAGCCTCTCTTAATTCATGGTGCCACATACCATCTAAGGAATCTATACATGAGGTTTATAAATGAGCGTGTTGCTAACAAAAAAAAGCAG